CAAGCTACTCATTGCCTGATCACAGATGCTTCCTGTCTGTATGAAAACTGGAAGAAAATCCTTTTTAACAAGCTACTCATTGCCTGATCACAGATGCCTCCTGTCTGTATGAAAACTGGAAAAAAATCCTTTTTGCCCAGTGCACAGCCCCTGCTTTTCTTTAAAGACAATCCGAGCGATGGTGTTTGGAGCTGTGCCCACTGAAGCAATCCATGGACTGGGGAGATAATTACAGAGCCGTGCATCCCTCGATCACGGTGAGGGAGGTAATTACGGCACCGAGTAAGCGCAGCAGATGGGAAGTCATTGCTCTCGTGTGCTTGGATTGCAGTCTGCCGCCCAGCAGGACTCACGTGCTGCCGGGGAGGAAAGCGGGTTTGGAGGCTATTTGAGCACCTAAGCACGCCTAGAAGTATCCAGTGGGATTTTTCAGGTGTATGTCTATGCCAGCCTCACACAGCTCCACAGAGGTTGCACAGAAGCTGCATAGAGGTGTTATAGGTATTTCTGTTTCCGTCTGGTCCGGTGGCATCTCTCGGATGCTTTGGTGGGGACTTGCTGGGGATGGAGGGCTCCACATGACCACCCGCATCCCACAAGAGAGCAGGTACAAAGTGAAGCTCATTCACACCAGCATAGACTTAGGTCTCTGATAATGTATTTCTTTTTTACAGGAGAGAAAGAAATGTGTGCCACGTTATTGCTCTCTTTCCTAAAAATAAACGCAGGGAAAAAAATAGGATTCAGACAAAAAGACCTTGCAGGATTATCAACCCCCACCAAGCAGTAATCCTGACAGGCCTCGATAAATCATCTGATAGGTTTAACAATAAACTTGACAAGACAAAAAGATTTATTTTTAACTTCTTTCTCTGACTTATGAAGCTTCACACTTGTCTACAATCTACAAAGCTAAAACCTTCTGTAAAAATGAAAACTGAGGTACCTGCAAGACTCCAGAGGGTGGAGATTTATGAAAAAATAAACATAATGAGTTTGGTTTTTTTAATCAGACACTGTTTGTGGAGGAGAGTTTTATGGTGAAAGGCATACAACTTTTACATTTTCCTCTGCAAAGGCTTCCCTGCAAACTGCACAAAACCCCTCTGACTGAGCCCTTCAGACTCAGCTATAAGCTGTTGGGAAAGCAGCCAATCCGAAAAATTGCAAGCCTAAAAACTCATATGCCCCGTTTGTAGAAAAGTGGAAAAATAGTCAATAAACACTGTCTACTGTTAAAAATCAGAGTACTCAGAGACGTTCTCTCTCCTGAGAGGTTACCCTAAAGCAGTGGCCTCTGGACAGGTCACCCGAATGGCTGATGTGTGCAAAGCCCCTGTATTTTAGCTGTGATGGCTCAGGCAGTAAGGGGATCTGGACGTCACTTAGCACGATGCCAGCGTGATCAGGAGGGCACCTTGTGCCTGTGAGGCAATGGGAATCACATCCCCATCTCGCGGTCTGAAGAAGGAAGGGTGATGGGAGATGGGATACATGGGAAGGAAATGACCAGGTCCTGAGAGCGATTTACTGGTAACTGAGAGAGAGAGCAGGACGGGGCAGCCACAAGTGGTGGGTGTAAGTCTCTCGTGGGAAGAAAAACACAGATCAAACCAGAAGAAAGTAAATGAGCAAGTATACAACACAGTGATGGCCTCAGGCTCTCTGTTTTACTGAGGCAAGATGAAAAACAGTGTCTCTCAGCGTTGCTTGGGATAAGAAGATCACCAGGCGATGCCCTACTCGTAAAAATCGGATATCCCAGTGGAAAGGAAAAGGTTTTGCTTTCATAGAGCGCATTTCTGAATCTGCTGCTCCTCCCTGCCGGGTCAGTTAAACCTGATGCACACCTTCATTTCCACTATGCAGGCAGACCCTGCGCAGCTGCATCGTTCGATACAGATGGCCTCCAAGAAGCCCTAAGTTGGCAGCACATTGGCAAGAGCCTTGGTGGAAACACTAAGTCCCACACAGACCAGAAATAGCCCCTGCAGGAAGCACATTGCTTTTATGGAGCACAGGGAAAATGAAATCATTCTGTTTGTAAAGAGCACCTCTGAAACCTTAAAGCATCCATCCTTGTATAATTCTTTTGCACCGTGACATAGACTTATACAGCGTAAACGCACTGCCAGGTGCTGCAGGAATAAACTGAAAGCTTCTGTCCCTTTGGATTGAGCTGTACTGTAAACATATCTTCTGCAAATCAGGCCTCCATCTGTAAGTGCATTGCACACCTAAAGGAGACCAGGTTTTTAAAAAAAAATTCACCACCAAGTGCTAAATTCTGGCACAAAGAATCCATCCACCATCCTACGTGTTACAATTTTTTCCCAGAATGGGCCTTTTTAGTAGAACTACCCAGGAGACTTTTGAAAACATGCAGTTTTCAAGATCTCAAGCAACTGCAAAAAATGTTTTGGCAAGTGCCAAGTGTTGATCTTTAGTTATAGTCCTGACATGATAAAGGATGGGGAGCGTTAGACTACCCTTTTGTATTAACAAGAGATCTCAAATGTTATTCAGGAGTTTAAATTAAAAGACCTGTATAAATAGAAATCACATGCTAATAGGACGTAATGTTTTACTACCTCGCATATAAAACCTCATTCTGAATGGTTTATGCTCCAAAGTATGAGTTGATATCACTGTCGGTATTAGCTTAGCTAGGTGCAGGATTTCGGTGGTTTACACCAGCTTTTTGAGCTAGTTCTCAGCCATAGAAGGTTATGGCCTTAATTTTAGTCTCATTTTTCCACTAGCGAATGCCACTTTGTTGGATGTGGGGTTTTGCAGAAGAGCCGGTTTCAGCGAAGGCTTGTGGTTTCTCAGGGCTGAGATGGACCTGCTGGAGGGGAAGGCAGGCAGCGAAGGTGAAGGTACCTGCCTGGGAACTCGGGGAGCGGACTGATGTGCCTGTGCTGGACTGGGACGAGCAGGAGCTTGACCATCTTTCTGCAAGAGATCTGGGAAATGAGTTCTCAGCCGATTCAGCTGTTCTGTACAGAGAGCTAAGAGGAGAGACCGGAGGAAAGGAGCATGCAGGGGTGGTGGTATCATTATTATTTTTTAGTGGGAAGAGATGAAAAGATTTCTACTTCCAATGCAAAAACAAAAAGCAGGAGTGAAAATTCCTCAGAAACACAGTCCTTCCTCCTGGCTGGATTTAGTCACAGCTTGCCTTGGTGCATCCAAGAGGTCAACTAACAAAGATTAATTTACTATCTCTCAACCTAATAAAAGCAAAGCACCTGCCTGACCTTTCTTGCTGACAGCTCCTAGTTTCAGGCAGCCACATTCAGCTGTTCTCCATCATCACGCTAAACCAAACAACACCTAACCATTTTCCAGTGCCTAAATCCTTCAGCACGATATCGTCATCTTTCTCTGCCTTCGTGTGGCCTTTTCCGCCTTCCTTACGCTCCTATTGTGGTAGCAGGGTCTTACGGATTCATGCTGGCCCCTGGGATCAGTTCACAGCTAATGTGGATGCCCTGTCCTTTGTACACTGGCTCTCAGCACATTTAGCTTCTCAACCATACTGCTTTTTAGTCCTTAATTATGTTGTTTGTTTTGCATTTATTGGACTGTGCTGTGCTTTCATTGCTTAGATAAAGCTAGCTAGCAATCCCCAGGCCTCCTGAAGGAATGCTACCGCAGGAAATTAATGAGTGCGCTATTTTCCCCAGCACAGAGCAAGCACACTGCTAATGGTGACAAACTTTCAACCCTTCCTTGGCTGTAGAGTTGGTGAAAAATCCTGCTTAGTCCACGTGCACAAAGAGATGTGTCCATTGAAACTGCTGGGAAATAGCCCCTCCTGAAGGACCAAACAGCAGGATACTAAAGCACATGCAGATCCCACTCCATGCTCTATTTTTTACTGCCATTGTCATCAGGCAAATCCCTTGACCCAGACTTGAGAAATCGCTAGCACTCAAACAACGAAACTTGTTATTTTCCGCTGGACAAACTTTAATTGTCTCAGAGGCTTCCAAGTTCAATGACAGACACTTCATTTACAGCAAAAAAATAGTAGTGCCGTATCTCTTTCTTTGATATCAAAGACTAGGATTCTTCAGATCTGAAGTGTCTGCTCCGGCTTGACAAATGCCCAGTGCTGGTAGAGGTTTAGAGCAGGCGGATTAGAAAGGTGAGAGGGTGAATGATTTTGGTGCCATGGAGTACAGACTGTGGTTTGCAATACGCATTGCTGCCACCAGTAGATAGAAATATAAGTGAACGTTTCTTTGCAGTCATCGATGAGACTTCCAGTGTGACTCCTTTTCTGCCGCGTTACATTATCTGCCATGCTGGGAAACTCAATAATTACTCTGCAGGCACTCATGAAGACATACTTGTCGAAACAAATGATGGGGCATGAGGTGATTGTTAGGCACAGGCTGGAAACCAGCAAGCCTGTCTCATGAAGGAAACAAACCAAAACACTGTCACTTCTCTGGTAAAAAATATTTCCGTATCAAAATTGGACAAGAAGAACAGACTGAGCAGTTTTTCAGGGGGAAAGGAAATGATTCCTAGAAAGCAAATTTGCTTCTGCAGAACAGAAATAATTTTTCTGCTCCTGGAAGGATATTACTTGGCTTGCTTTTCCAGATGATCAGCTTGGGAAACAATATATCAGTTTTCCCAATGGGAAATCCAAGTGTTTGAGATAGCAAGGGTGTTTTCCACTCAAAAGTCTTGTCTGCAGAAAATCCGTAGCTGGACATTGTATAACCTAGCACGGAACCTGACCATTGTCAACTAAAACCTAAAATTTTTTGTAGACTCCTCCCTCAGCAAAGTATCTCGCAACACAACCACCACTATCACAGAGACATGTCGACGTGGGGAACACACTACCCTGTTTAACCACCTCCCACTATGCTGGAGAGTTGCCCACATTTGGGTTTTGGTGAACTTTCCTTGCTAGTGTGGGGTGATGGCCACCCCGCGGACGCAAAGCTCTGAATTAGCAGGAGGTGTTTTAACATTACCTCATGAGACAGGTAAAAGGCAGCAATTCCCAATGGCCAGAAGCAGCAGAGCATGGAGAACACAGTGAGGCCAAGATGATCTCTTGGTGGCATCATCAGGAAATTGTCTTCGCTTTCAGTGTCACTTGAGTAATCGCTCTGGAATAGCAAGGGAGAGAGAAATGTAGAGGTGCTGGTTAGTGATATCATTATTTCTCCTCTGCCCTGGGCCGAGGCTGTGATCATCCGCCCATAAAACTCTCCCCAGTCACACCAGGGCAATTCCTCAGCACTGGGACAGACCTCCACCACTCATGGTAGAAGGCTTCTGGTGATCCACTCTAGGGTCTCTACCATGCAGGGGTCTCTAGACAGGGCCAGCTCTGGGGGCACTTGTACCCTATTTCATCAGGGCCGGTGCACCCATTCTGCTCTGCTGTGGCTCCACAGCAACAGGACCACAGGAATTATCTTGCCCTCCTGCAGCATCCACACCAGCCACTGGCAACCTTCAGAAGGACTTCAGGACTGGGACCATGGCAAACACCACGGGAATTTCCCTTCAGCAACTGTGTCACAGCCTCCATCACTATTGGATGGACTTGAAAGCAAGCAATGAGAAATGACAAGAGATTCTGGAAACCACTGCAGGGAAAAGGGTCCATTTTACACATTTGACTTTCATGAATGAAAGCAAGCGACCCTCTAGCCAGATGAACCAGGGTGAACCTGGGAGGGCTGGCACTTTCAAAACATAATGTCACATATCTAACGCAGAAGGATGGTGCTCTGCATCTCCCAACTCAAATGCCAGCCTTCTGGAAAGGTCACTGCTCAGGTGGTCAGGAGAATGTCAGCTAGACATTACCCATTGGGAACAAGGTGACAAATGTGGTGCAAACCTAAGTATAGGGAACCAAGGTAGGAAAAGCCAAAAGAGAAAAAAACCATGAGCTGCTCCGGCAGCAATGGAATGCTGCCAGATTTACTGTGTGTGGGCAGAAGCACCTGCCCAGGCATGTTTCTTAGATGCCCAATGGTTAAGCTGCAGGAACCCTGACCTAGCAAAAGTTTCTTTCACGGTGATCGCTAGGACTGGTCCACAGGGGACCTGACCGCCCCACTGCCGAGCAAGCACAGTTCTCCAGCAGAGCAGGAGCAGAAGACATCCTGCACTCTGGTGGCTTCCTCCTCACCTGCAGAGAGTCCACATGCAACAACAGGCACTGAGGGTGCCGTTATTCCAGGCTTTGGAGTTACAGCTTTGCTGCAAGAAGGGTCCTGCAAAGCTTTTTAACTCACCCTGGGAGTCTGAGATGAGGTGGCCAAAAATCTTCTCAAAAAAACATTTTGTAGTTGCATGTTCTTCTCTGATTGTAGGAGAAATGCTGTGCAGAATCTTACCGAAAGGAAGACATCTGTGTGACGTTTAGAAACTTACCCTTTTGGGCGTGGGTTTTGTGTCCCTCTTAGAAACTTAGCAGCCTGTTCAGGAGCTTCTGGCCTTTGGGCCGAAAGAACTAAAGTGACATTGTTTTACCTCGAAGTGAGAAACTCCTGAACAGGCTGCTAAGTGTGCACGACAGGAAAACGAACACACGTGCAAGAAGGCAAGTTTCTAAACATGCCACTAGTGAGCCACGGCTGAGAAGGACCCAAGACATGCCAACAGCCTCGTGATATTCGAAAGACTTGGCAAAGGCATCGCCTCCCAAGCTGACCCATTTGGGGAACCCATCAGATGACACGACCCATCGCTTGCTAATATGGAGAGTCTGCTTTGACAGGTATTGCTGCCAAGCACCTGCCACAGACCAGAGGGGCCTGAGAGGGAAGGGCAGGGGGGACCAGACAGGTCCCATGCTTTGGGATTGTGTGGTGCACATGAACACCAGCACGCAGAGCACCCCAGCCTGTGTCAGGAGCCTGGATGCCTCAGTAGAAAGGACAAAGCTCCATTTGGCACAAACTGAATAAAAACTGACTTCTGAAGGGACACCTGCTGATGCTGGTGTACAGTGTTTGAGCTTGGCGACTTCCCTTTCTGCTTTAATTTTCAGAGCAGGCCAAGTAAGTAAATTTTAATACCGATAATCTTACCCTTCAAGATTAAGAGAAGAGAGGAGGAGGGAGGAAATCCAAAACATTGCTGAAACCATCTCTTGACACAGTGCCCTTCCCTGAATTTCATGACAGGCAAGATACAAAACCAAAAATGCTTTTGATTTCCCAGTTCTTGGCCGAGTAGTGTGCTGGCATTGTAACTGCAGAGACTCCCTGTCTGATATTCCAAATTGCCTTTTCTTGCAGATGAAGATGAAATGGGGCAAAGATTCTCTAGACAGCTTTGATCAAGTGCTGAACCAGAAAATTATCAGTTATGCTGCTTTCCAAAGGAACTAACTATTCTCAAGGTGGTAGAGTCACGACATCTCAGAGAGCTTCCATGCCAACTGGAGAGGTGGCAGTTAGATTGCAAGAGGATAATTGCGGAACTTTTCTTAGTTATGCTAACATGAAAGCGTTGTCAGGCACTGAAACAGGCTGCCCAGGGAAGTGGTGGAGTCCCCATCCCCGGAGGTATTTAAAAGAGGTGTAGATGAGGTGCTTAGGGACATGGTTTAGTGGTGGGCTTGGCAGTGCTAGGTTTACGGTTGGACTTGATGATCCTCAAGGTCTTTTCCAACCTAAACGATGCTATGATTCTATAAAAACCCTTACAGAGGAAGATTAAGTCACTATAGGCTTATACTAATCGAATAGTAGAGTTACACTGTGAATGCCATGTTGATGGGCAAAGTCCCTGAAGTACACATTGATTCAGATGATTTGATTGTCAATCACCAAGAGTGACAGGAGAATTCTGATAAGAAAGTCTTGACCATGTAGTCCAGATATGAATCAGAGGGGCGGGAGGAAAAAAAAAAAAAAACCAACCAAAAAAACCCAGTGATAAATCACAGAAAGAAATCCAACAACAAAAGGTACCTATTATCCTTAAACACTCATTTCTCCACCCAAACCTTGCTCCCTAATGTTCTCTCTTTTACAACCTGATACCCAGTCCTAAACTTACTGAGAGGTCTTCCCTATCCAGAAACCTTTCTGACATTGGGAAGCTTTTGACAATTTGGCTACCTATCTGACTGTCTTCACTTATTCCTGGTTCTGCAGGAGCTGCACCCTGACACTGGAGGAGTTGAACGTTAAGGGTGCTGAGAATTCAGAATTACTTTCACCAATTAATTACAGTTGCTTTGGGTTAGCAGACTAACCCTGCATAATCACTAATATTCTTCTCCACAGCCCCGCTCCTTTCATGTTTAACAGTCTCTTTATAAATTTACATGGAAATTTTCACAATTACATCATAATTTCACTAATCTGACTGAAAGCTTTTAACTCTTGTAGAAGTTAGGGAGTAGCATAACTAATTAATTTTCAAGGTTCCAGTGGTGAACAAGACTCGACAGACAAACTTTTCTTTATTTAATGTTAAGCTAGATGAGTTTAAGCAATCTGAAATATCAAACTATCAGGTTTTTCTTTCTACAGGTGTACCACCAGTGCATAAGCAATAAGCAATCAAAAGAGAACTTGTGCAACCATTAGAAAAAATACCTGGCAAAGACCATCCCTTTCTTGGTTGAGATACTCTGTTCGTCACTAGAGCAAAGATCCCTCATAGTTATGCTCCTAACAAATCCCAGTTAGTCCAGGCTTTTTACTGAGCTGGTAAAAGCACAATCAAGTTAGCCTCTTTGAACAGAGCTCTTCTATCCTGTCAGTCAGACAATGCTAGATGTTAGTCATGATGCTAGAAAAATCTTCAGAGGAAGCAAGGCATGAAACGTGATGCAGCTGCAATCACGTAAGTGATGAGAGACAGGAGGCTCACGGGGTGTCAAGGAACAGCAGCAGCAACAGCTGACAGTCTCTTTGGGATGTGGAGGGATTCACCCCTTTTCAGAGGTGACATCGGGCTCCAGCAGCTTCCACTGCCATTGCACAACCACTTCTAACTGCAACACACAGAGAATATTTACAGCAGGCAGTGCCTTTCCACTGCAAGTCAGGCTCTCGCTTGGAGATACATCTCCATGCTTTAACGAGAGATGTAATCTCAGCGAGGTCCGCAGTCCTTCCCCTTGCCAAGTGAGCTGCACTCTCTGCAGCCCACGCGAGGGGCTGCTGTGAGAACAGATACCTGTGCAAACGGCCCTGTAACAGAAACGACACAACTCTGGGATTACTGAGCACACAGTGGGGTTTTCCCGCTTCCAATGGAACCTTTGTAGCAAAACCAGTTACTACAATGACCACAACCCTCCTCATCCTCAGTGACTGCTGTGTGTCCCTCGCCAACACACTTGGAGTTCAACTGAGAAGGCAGGACAGGGTAAAGCAATCTCAGTCTCAGTTTATCCACAAGCCTTTTTGTGGCTGCTACAAGGAAGAGGGGACCTCAGGAGCACAGGCAACACTGGAGTTACCAGGAGATGAGGCCCCAAAGGACACCTCCCCAGAGCACAAATTCTTCCAGAAAGCACAGCTCCCTGTCCAGATGAATGTTGACTACAGTGAATGACAAAGTAAGAAAGTAGCTCTTTTCCCTTCCCTTCCCTTCCCTTCCCTTCCCTTCCCTTCCCTTCCCTGTCAGGTCCCATTCAGTGTCTCCTATTTTCCCCTGGTAACATGGGAACAGGACCCAAAGACAATGGCCTGCTTCCCCAGAGAAGTAGATGACACTGTCAGAGCAAAGGCTTTCACTGGGCGAACGAGCTGGGATGCCTCCACACAAGCTCTTTGACTCTGTCTTATTTACATGTGTTTTCCAATGGTGCACATCTCTAAAATGCATTAGACACAGGTGATGTGGGCAGGACATAAACTGGATTTCTGCAAAAACTGTGGATGTGACAAAGGATGAAGAGGAGAAAGGAACTTTGTTGGGAGAAAGGAGTTGTCTACTTCCCAGCCTCAGAGTGCATGGGGTTTTGCAGCAGATGGAATTTGGATGCTAGACAATTCAAGAGGAAACCTTGACCTCTGTGTTCAAGGGTGCTGCTTCTGACATTTCCCAAATGACCTGTGCAAGAAGTCAGCCTTGAACATAACCACAAACATGGTCACCCTGGAGACTGATAGAATGAAGCTGA